GCACGGTCGAAGAGGAGGGAATTGAGATGGATCTTGAAGGTGACCATGGAGGGGGCAAGGTGGAGGGACTGTGGGATGGAGTTCCGGAGGGTGGGGACAGAGTGGTGGAAGGCCCGCCTGCCAATAGTGGGGTGAGCAAGGTGGGGGACGTGAAGCAGGCTGGAGTCCGCTGAGCGGTGGGCGCGAACAGGATGGTAGGGGGTTAGGAGGTCACAGAGGTAGTGGGGAGCAAGACCACGGAGGGCTTTGAAGGTGAGGACCAGGATCTTGAACTGTATCCTCTGTGTGATGGGAAGCCAGTGGAGTTGGGCAAGGATGGGAGTGATAGGGTCGTGGAGCCTAGTCTGGGAGAGGACATGAGCTGCAGAGTTCTGGTTGATCTGCAGCCTGTGAAAGGAGGAGTTGGGGAGGCCGACAAGCAATGAGTTTGCATAGTCGAGCCTCGATGTAATGTAAGTATGTTAGAGGGTTTTTGGCGGCCTGCAGTGTGAGACAGTTGCAGAGCTGGGCGGTGTTACGGAGGTGGGGGAAGGCAGAACTGGTCATGGCACAGATGTGGGGTAGAAAGGATAATTGAGGGTCAAACAAGCCCCCAAGGTTCCGGACTGGCTTAGTAAGGTGGAGTGTGCAACCATGGATGGTGATGCTGTCAGCGCCTGAGGTGAGGAGGTGCTGACGGGAGCCAATCAGAAGAGCCTCGGTCTTGTTGACTTTCGACTGAAGAAAGTTTGCTCTCATCCAGGACTTGATGTCTGACAGACATTCTGACAGGACTGCAGTGGTCCTGGAGTCAAGGGTGGATGCAGAGAGGTTGAGTTGGGTGTCATCCACATACATGTGGAAATTGCCCCCATGTCTGCGGATGATGTCGCCAATAAAAACTCTGTGGAGAGTTTTGAGATATTTCGACATAAGATAGAAATGCAAGGACTGTTATTATTAGTAGTAATAGTAGTAGTAATAGTCATATATTACCTCCAAATTGGGCCTTGATAATTTTATTTAAGGCCAATGTGCAATAGTTATTTTCCTAATTTTGGACATTTTCCAATCCTTAGAAGGAGAATTATTCCCTGTAACGTGCAGGAAAGTCTTGATGGTAACTTACTGAGTTACTCCTCTTGAAAGGGGAATAAGACCAGACTGTCCATTCTCAACCACCTTATTCAGTGCATTCACCAAAGATGTGTAATTGGATGGCATCGAGGAGGGTGGACTTGGTGGATCTGTTCCAGGTATTCCTGGCAGAATTGGGCACTTCAATTTACAGATTATATTGTGCTGCTGACAGACTCACCTGGGGATCTTATTTGCTGTACTCATCATCTCGAACACTGGGCCACTCAGTGGGACATGATGGTGAGTGCCACAAGTGCAGAATCACAGTTCAGAAGGTTTGAGAGGGTACCTTGAGGATATTGATTCGAAGATGAGATACAAAGGGCAGCAATTCTTCCTACTCAGCTCTTGCTAACCCTGTAGCTGGTTAAACTCAGCAACAACAACAAATTGCATTTGTATATGCCTTTCATGTCGGGAACAGTCCCCCTTGGACACTCCCAAGTCTTGGCTCTTGCAAACCTCTGCCTAATACTTTCTGGAATTAGCTAAGCAGGATGTGTACCTCCAAGCGGAGAGTGTATATGCCATTCCAAAATGAGAATTTCCATGTGTAGGTGGGATGCATGGAATTCTGTTTGGCTTGGATACTCTGGCATGGTAATGGGTGTCCACATGTGACAATACCCGGCTGACCAAAAAAAAGTGTAGGGTTGCCATTATAAGGCAATTCACGATGTGGAAAGCTCTTACGCTTTTAGCTCCCAAGTAACAGATCATAAGAACATTTTTTTTGTGTGTAACTTAAATAAATAAACTCAAAAAAAACCTGAACTTCGGATCAAAGGTGGTTAAATCTGTGGTTACTTTTGCAACTTTCCGTTTTTCCTTGGCGGATGCCAAATTGAGACCTGGCATAAAACTTTAATGTGGTTACAGTATGTAATATTGTTGCTACTAGTCATTTCTCATTTCCATTCCCATCATCATTGCAGAAGATTTATGTATGTTGTAGATTGTGGTAAGTCTGAGTGCTATCATAAATGTACTTCAGGAACTATAATGTTAACCATGGATCTCACCAACACAAAGCTTAGGGTTTGATTTACAGCACTTGGTCCCCTTGCACTCCCTTACCCTTTAGCCATTTTGCTCTCAGGGTTCAGGACATGTCCATACTTCTAAATCTCATTGTTCTCATCACCCCCATTCTTGCCCGACTTCACTGGCTCCCCATCCCTCAGAGAATCGAGTCCAAAACCCTCATTCTCACCTTCAAAGCCCTCCATGGTCTTGCTCCCCACTACCTCTCCGACCTCCTAACCACATATCAGCCTGTCCACTCCCTATGTCTGACAGACACCAGCCTGCTTCAGGTCCCCCACACTTCCCACCCCACCATTTGTGGTCGATCATTCAGCATCTCTGCACCCACACTCTGGAACTCTATCCCATGATCCCTCCGCCTCACCCCCTGGCTTGCCTCCTTCAAGTCCCATCTAAAGATCTTCAACTTTGACAGTGCCTTCGGCCACCTTCCCACCCCCAATCCCCAACTACCTCCAACTCCCAGCTTGGGTCCAAAAACCCATGATTGTCCAGCGACCTGGGACATCTTTCCGATGTGAAGAGGGCTATACAGTGTAATGAGTCGTCAACAGTGCATTGTAATGCCAATAAAACAAACAGTCACTACACTTTACAGTAAAATCCTCTGAATCCCTTTGAGACATCATCCTGATAGGTAAAGCACTCTCTCAAATGCAGAAATTACTATTATTATTATTGCAGGACTTACATTTACTAGCCTGAAGACTCTGTTTACCTTCCCCCACCCCTCCCTTGCAATCATGCCATTTTTTGACTGTCTCTTTGGACATAGCTACATTAACTATTGTAACTTTCATTTCTCTTATGCAAGATTCAAAAGCCAATTTTGCAGTTTTCTCAATTTTGTTTTGCAATGGGTTAAATTGCCAAGATGTCTGTGAGTATTAACACTTCTTCTGCAGATGTTGGCTTGAATATAGTAACAGAACCTTTCTCCAGGAATGAAAATATTTTGGAGAGGTTAGTAGAATTTTGCGTGTTTTTTATATAAAAAGGGAACATTTGCAAAACCTTTGGGAATTTTTGCAGTGTGTAAATACAGTAATATTTAGCAAGGAATTGTTACCACTTGAATTTGTTGCAATTTACAAGAACATTGATCCACAGGTGGCACTGTTGACTTTGCCCATCAGCAGTACTTATTATTATGATGATGATGATGTTATTACAGTTTAAATCACTTCGTAGAGGTCATCTCTGAGTGGATTTCAGTGATGGGTCAGCTAGACCAATAACACTGCTATGTCACATATGAATGGATGTTACTTATCTTAGTATACTAGAAATTCCTAAAATAGCTACTTTTTGCAGGAGGTTGATATTTTATTCACCAGGTATTTTATCAAACCGTTTCTGAATAGTGTTATTAACAGTCCTACTTCATTGATGATTATAGGAACTATATTTGATTTATGCTGCTACATACGTCCGCATTCAATTTGTAGATTGATACATTTCGTGATCTTCTCTAGTTTCTTATTTCTTGTGTTGTAGTCACTTGGGATAGCCACATCACCAATAATAATAGTAATAATAATAATCCTTGCAGTTGATATATCGCCATATTACGTTGTTAATATGTCTCAAAGCGCTTCACAGAATATACTGTAAATGTTTCGCCCACAAATATATGGTTAATTCACTTTACATTCTATTCTGTGAAGTGCTTTGAGATGTTGAGAAGACGTGAAAAGCGCCATATTAAATGCAAGGATTATTATTATTATAAAGCAGTTTTGACTATATATTTTGTGAGTGAAACCTGTCATCATTTCCAGCCCTAGCATAATCAGCATTGTCTCACAAACAGCCATGGATTGAGTGACCAATTTTATTTGGGGAATTGTTTGGCCAGGACACGGGAAAAATTCCCTTCTCCTTTTAAATCTTTCCTGAACAGACAGACGGGACCTTGGTTTAACATCTCACATGAAGCACGGCTTCTTTAACAGTGCAATACAGCCCCAGCACTGCGTTGGAGTGTCATCTTAGATTAAGTAATTGCAAATCCCGACATGGGGCTTGAACCCACAATCTTCTGACTCAGAGGCGAGAGTGAGTCTCTCAACTGAGATTTGCTCTCTTTAAGTTGGACATAGTTAAAAATGAGAGATGTGTATTTAGTGAGTATTTGTTTTGGTTTCCTCACCTGAAGGTGCTCGTTCTTGCTAGGATACGTTTTCACATGCATAACCACCATCTAATATCTCACCCAAGTAGCCATTTGTCACCTGTGAAAATAAGCAATGAGTGATAGTAGCTGAGTCCTGTCCTCAGCCGATGCCCACATTTTAGGAAGGGTCGCTGGATACAGATCAAGACTGAGAATCCTACATAATTTCCCCTTCTTTAGACCAGGGGGAGCTGACTTCAGCTCAGACCTGAGACTTTCCATCTCTGTGTGGCTCAGTTTCACTCCAAGCAAGGAATTTATCAAATGAACTATGGGCTCGAGTATGAAAGTATCTTATTTGCATGACTATTATCCTGATGATAATAATAATAATAACGATCTTTGCATTCGATATGGCACCTTATCACGTCTTTGAGACGTCTCAAAACTCTTCACAGAATATACTGTAAAGTGAATTGACTGTTTATTTTGTGGGTGAAACACAGCTGATGGCAGATGGTTCCTCTTCCCGCAGACTTTAGACGATTTCTTCTTTCAAAAAGAAACACAATAAGGATCCTTCCACTGTGCCCGGGCCTCAGTTCCTTTGCCAGCTCCAGCACCCGGCCAGCGAAGTCGGAGGCGACACCTGGGCCGCCTGCTTGCTCAGGGGTGGAAACGGAAGCATTCAGAAGCAGGTTTTATAGAGCAACTGGGCATGCCTTTAGGTAGCAAGAAAAATGAAAAGGTCATGCCTGAGCAAATTGAGACCTCGGAGACTAACACAAAAAAATCTGAAACCCCCCAAATCTCCGTGCTGAAGGAATTGACTCCATCCATGGTGGAAAATGATACTCATTCTGTGTCGACTGAGTCTCAGTATTCAACGTTCTCAGACTTAAAAATGGAGATAAAGAAAGCAGAAATGGGTAAGCTTGGCTCGGGTGACAACCAACCTTGGAAACCTTATGGTTGAACGTCCAGCTATTTTCTGTTCAATTTAACTTTTGTTTTCCAAAAGAAAGGGCCCATGTGTGTATATGTGGTAGGGAGTGTACAATCCCCACTGTAAAGAGGCTGGTGTATTTTATGTGTGTGGGCTCCAGTGATAGAACGTCCTTTGGGCTACTATCCTATTCTATGTGTTTGAAGTGTTGACTCCAGTCTTCTCCCCATCTCCGAAATAATTTGGTGATCACTTTATCCCATGAGAGCAGAGATCTTAAGGAACTAACGGGATTGCATTGTCCTGGACCATGATCTCTTTTCTCCTTCCTCCTCAAGCCCCTCCAAATCGCTTTTCCTCCCATCCACAGCACCAACTACCTTGAACAGTTACCAACCAAATTCTCCATCTGTGTCCAGGCTCCCTTTGCTTCAACAACAACAACTTGGATTTATATCGCCCTCCATGCCGGACGGCGTCTCAGAGCGCTTTACAGTAATGGATCCCGTGACCGAGCCAGGGGAAGGGGAGGCAGGTGACCAAAGGCATGGTCGAAAAGAAAGGTCTTCACTGTCCTTCTTGATCTTGCCTTGGTCAATGTGAATCACTCTGTCTTTCTCCACCACCTCTTCCCTTTGCTCCAGCAGAATTTTTGCTGCGAGATTTGCCCATTTAGCACCTTGCCAAGGGAATAGTTTTGTACCGAGTCGTAAGATTTTTTTCGTTCTCTCTAAGTGGAAGTTTAACTGGTGTAGGGCCAAACAGATCCACAAAGTCCTCTTACCTCCCGTTACAGTGATATGAGATCACGAAGGAGCTGAAACAAGCTGTCAGAGATGCATTTTGCCTCGTCACTCCATCATGTTACGGAAGATGGCGACAGATCATTAACTGCCATGAAAATTATAGTGCTCGCTCACACCGACCCTCTGGAAGTCTAACTACAGTTAAACACTTCTCCTGAATACTATTGAATGATTCCACATAAAATTATCATTATTCTTCCACATAATTCAGTTGTTGGTCAGTGCACTATGTTAAAAAAAAATCACATGCATGGGGGTAACAGGACTTTGTGGACGAGGTGGTAGCTCTTTCAAAGAGTTGGCATAGGCACGATGGGCCAAATGCCTCATTCTGTGCTGTAAGATTCAATTAATCTATTCCATATAACCAGGAGTAAGCGATTACTCCTCTTCATTGGATGGCGGTTTATTTTGGTGGATTCTTTCAACTTGTCTTTCAGTTAAGATGTTTGATTTTGTGTTCAAGGCGAGGAAACAAACTGCTGTGGGCAGCTCTGTCAATGTTCCTGCTGTAAACGTGAAGAAATCCGAGGTCAGGTATAGTTTGAGATAGATGCAGAGTATAGATCTCCCTCTACATTAACCCAATAATGTACCTTACATAACCTATGCTGCCCTACATGCTCCTGCTCAACAATGCTGTGCGCAGGCATGGCGTTAACTTCCAAATGTGCACAGATGCCATCCAATTCTATCTCTTGGCCTCCAGCCTCGACTCCACGACCACTGTTGTTCTTACCGATTGCCAGGGGAGCATCAAGTCCTGGATGAGAACTAACTTTCTCAAGTTGAATGTTGACAAGACAGAGGGTTTTCTGTTTTACTCCCATCAGTGCATTCTCACCTCAGGCACTGTCAGCATCATCCTACATGGATGCACACTCCATGCCATGGAGCCAGTGCAGAACCTTGGTGTCTTGTTCAACTCTCAACTGTCCCCAAAACCCCATAGCTGTACTCATGACCCATTCAGCTTTTCCCCACATCTGCAACATTCCTGCCTCTGCTACTACCTGTCCCCTCAGACTGCGGAGACATTGTCAATTCTCTCCTTTCCGGATATACCAACTCTTCCACAAGCTGCAGCTCATGTCTTCTCCTGCATAGGCTCTCTGAGCCTATCATTCCCAACCTTGCTTGGCTCCATTGGATCTCCATCTCCCATTGGATTGAGTTCAAGATCCTCGTCCTCACTTTTAAATCCCTCCACACTCTTGCCCCACCCTATCTCTGTGACCTTCTTAAGCTCTACCATGCCGCCTGATCCATCGGCGGCAGGCACTGGCCTGCTCCACGTCCTCTGCCCTGCCCAATCCACCATTCAGTCGGGCTTTCAGCCTTCCTGTCTCCATTCTCTGTACCTCCATCCTGAAGTACCTTCACCTTGTCCCTTTTCTTGCATCCTTCAAGGTCCGACTCAAGACCTTCCTCCTTGATTGTGCCTTTGATTACTCTCCCCCCCACCCACCGCCTTGTTGGCCCTCACTGGAAGCTGGAAGTCTCCTCCACAAATTGTGAGAATGGAATGCACTTCCTTAGAAGCTTAGAAGCATTAGATGCAAAATTAATTGGGATATTTAAATAGAAGATGGATGAATAATTGGGAGATAAGAGGTATTTAGGGGATAATGGGAAAGGGCAGGAAAGTGGGTTTAAAAGACCTGCCATGATGTAAAGCAGGGATGGCCAATCCATAGAAGAGTCCAGGCCCATGGGCCACAAGTTGGCCATCCTTGATCCAAAGAATGAGTATCCCTCCGCCCACCCCCGCTATTGCATCTCTCCCGCACCAGGCTGTGCGAGCCTATCACCCACATCTTCGCCCATCATCCTCGAATAAGATAGCCTTGTGCCTGTTCAGTAGAATGCAGTTGTTAAAATCTCTACATTTTAACCCACTGGGTATTTTGTTTCACAAATGTTTACTTGTGGAGGCCTGATACAGGATTTAGCAGAGATAAGGGCTGGAAGTGTGGGAAGAGAATATTCTATAGGGCAGAGGGAAGAGCTGTCACTATTACATAAGGCAAGTATTCAGGCTAAGGTGTTAATTTCATTGACATTGTTTTTAGCAGCTATAATTTCTGTGTCTCTGCTCCAGCCAACATTATAATTAATGCATTCAAGTAGTTATACAATAGTTAGCACATCATAAAATGGGCCACTTTAATTAAAATAGTAATATCTGCTTTGCATGTAATGAAGAATTCAGTTACTTTTGTGCATTGAAGGGAATGCAACCCAATCCCACAGTTATACTCAAATGACTATCAGAAGTTCTGTAGTCATTTCAAACTATCCTTAGTCAAGTTAGTTGCAATGGCTGCCTAGGGAAGAGGAAGCTTTCAAATAATCTCAGGGTGCAATGCAATAACCAAAACCCTGGTTTACCGTGTCACTATCACTTAAGTCACCACAATTTACTAACAGAGAATTCTCATTGGTTTGCTTCAGTTACAGTTACTCCATTTTCTGCAATTATTGTACCATCATTGCTTCACATTGACGCTTCAAACAACCTGTGGACGTCAGACATACGTCAGACAGTTAAGATCCGAATGGAGAAGTTTGGGCCTGGTTCAGAAGCTCCTATCACAATTCATCAAATGTTCAAGCACTCTATGGAGAAGTATCAAAAACATATCGCTTTAGCTTACAAGCATGAAGAGAACTGGCACAAGATATCCTACCGAGAATTCTACAATGAATCCAGAAGGGCGGCAAAAAGCTTTCTATATGTAGGTCCATATTGCCTAAATTAAGATGACATTTAAAGTTTTTAAGGTGATGACTGACTATTTTGGAAGAGGAATTGTAAAGTTTCATCAGTCTCAGTGAGATGAAATGTGTAGATCGAATCTAGCTCTTATCAGTTTTAAGGTCCTTTTTGAATCACAAATAGTTTAAATCTGTCCCTGGCTGCAACTGTTGGTAATTGTATTGCAGTTACACACAGCACCTCTGGATCAGAGCGGAAAAATTCAGTTGAGCCTCCTGTTCCCAATTGCTCTCTAACGTGGGGAAATTGGGTGAGAAAAGCATTGGACATCTCCCCCTCGTAGCTTCGGCTCCAAACTGAAGAATGACTTGCTGAGCTCTCAGGAAGCCTGGAAAGATATCCCTGCAAACATCAGCATTTTAATTCCATATCTGTACTCTGACCTGCTCAGCGTTCTCCCATATCGGAACCATCGCCCACCTCCACCCATCACCTCTCACTGAGGCCACCGAGACCCTCATCCCTGCATTTATCACATCCAGGCTTGATAGCGCAAATGCTCTCTTTGCCTCCCTGCACAAGCTGCAGACTTTGCAGAAGTCTGCAGCTACATCCTTTTCCACACCAGGCCCCGTGAGCCAAATCCCCCCTATGCTTGCCTGGCTCCATTGACTCCCTATCCTCTACCAGATGGAGATCAAGATTTTTATTCTCATCTTCAAATCCTTCTACAGTCTCACCTCACCCTAGCTCTGCAACCTCGCCAAACCCAACTCACCCAACTGCTCCTTTCACTCAGCAGGCACCAGACTGCTTCATGTCTCCTATCCCACCACTGGCAGATGGGCCTTCAGCCTCGCTGCCGCCCCCACTCTCTGGAACTCCATCCCAGGGGCCCCTCGATCTCTCTCCTTCATCAAAGGTTCATCTCAATCTAGCTCTTTCCATCATCTTTCTGTTCCCTAATCCTCAGCTCCCATCCCCAGGTCTGGTTAAGATCCTTGGGAAGTCCTCCTGACGTGAAAGGCGTCATATAAATGTAAAATTGCCTTGTTTTGTAGACAGTATAGGAATGAACCCCTCAGAATTCAAACTCGTGGTTTTAGACCGTTTTGTTATTTGTAATTACACAGAACGATTTGCAGTGTTAAGCTTTCATAACAGGTTTTATTTTGTGCCTATTTTTTGAGCAAGAGCAACTTGTAAAATGTCTGTCTTATTGTGTTCACAGCTTGGCCTGGAGCTGTACCATGGAGTTGGTATCATCGGATTCAATTCTCCAGAGTGGTTCTTTGCAAACATGGGAGCGATTCTGGGAGGGTAACATTTCTCTTTAGTTGTATCCCAGTGTCTTTAAATGTTCCCAATAGCTTCTCCTCCTGCCTTTGCACAGTCACACACACATGGCCTCTATCCTCATTCCTCCCATTTACACCATCAGTATACTCACTCCCACCTGGTGATATCTTCCACTGGCATGGGGTCCATTTCCACATGTATGCAAATGACACCTAACTCTTCCTCTCTGCCTCTACCCTTGATTCCAGAACCACTGCTTTCCTGACCAATTACCTGTCAGACAGCAAGTCCTGGATGAGTTTTTTCTTCAGTTGAATCCATCAAAACCAAGGCTCTCCTGCTTGGCTCCTGTCAGCATCTTCTCATCTCAGGGTCTGGCTTAATTGGCCTGTACGGATTCAACCTGCACCTCAAGGAGCCGCTGTAGAACTTGGAAGTCTTGTTCGATCCTCAGCTATCCTTTAAGCGTTACATTCAAACTTTTGCTTGCTTGGCTTTCCTTCACCTACATCTATTTAACAAGATTCTGTCTTATTTTTAAAAAAAAATATATTTTATGAAATGCTTTGAGCCTTTTTTTGCACATACATGGAAAGATATATACATGGAAATAATAATCCCTCCAAAAACCAAAAACAATAATAAATCGGTCATTTTCAATCTACGACTGTTTGTGGGACATTGCTGTGTGCAATTGGCTGCCGGGTTCGCCCACAAATATACAGTCAATTCACTTTACAGTGTGTTCTGTGAAGCGCTTTGGGACGTCCTCCCGACGTAAAAAGCGCTATATCAAATGCAAGGATTATTATTATTATATAAGGTGCTATCTGAATGGGAGTTATTGTATATAATTTATTTTCTCAATGTCTGCAGTGGTGTGTCTGTTGGGATTTACACAACAAACTCGCCCGAAGCGTGTCAATATGTGGCCTTCGACTGCAAGGCAAATATTCTGGTGGTGGAGAACCACAAACAACTGGAGAAAATCCTCAAGGTACGGCTTTTGTTTTAAGATTTGTCTTTGCGTTTGAAATGAAAAGAGGATTTTATACAAGTGGAAACATCTGGTAATTTGATACGGTCAAAGAGGAAGGTCTTGAGGTGGTCCTTGAAGGAGGCAAGGAGAGTGGGTGAGGCGATGGGAATCTAGGATGGAGATCCAAAGGGTGGGGGCAGAAAGGCTGACCGCACATAGTGGGACGGGCTGGGTGGGGGATGTGGAGCAGGCCACAGTCTGCCGACCAGACAGGTTGGTATGAGTTTAGCAGGGTATAGAGGTAGGGAAGATCAAGACTTTGGAAGTTGCTTTACACTCTAATTATTAAAGGTATTGGACAAGTAAACTGTATAATGAAGCACCTGATTATCTTGATGCACTTGCGGGCAAAGTCGATGCTGAGTGAAAGTGCGGACCACACAGATAAGAAGGTTGTAGGATCTGATCCCTCAGGCTGGGCTCTGATGGTTGATTTCACAAGAGGCAATAATAGGATGTTGCATATGGTCTCATTCCTGGTTGCTGCTGTTGGAAATCCCTGTAGGGAGGTTCTACATGTGTGGATATTCGTGAGAGGATAGAATCCTTTAGAGTGGAACAGAAGCTGTCCAGGATCACTTGGGCCAGGTAAATGAACAAGGTTCTGGAGGCTGTCTTTGGAAAGGCCGTCCAATAGAAGTAACAGAGCTTTAAAACCTTCGGGAGGATTAGTTAAAGGAGGGTAGGAAGATGGTGAGGAGGGAGGAAAAAAACTTGACTAACTTATTATCTTTATCTTTAGATCCAAAATAAATTGCCCCATCTCAAAGCGATTGTTCAGTACAAGGGTCACCTGAAAGAAATTCTTCCGAACGTTTACACAGTAAGTCCTCCTGAAATGGTTACCTGCTCAGTTATAGGGGTGTAAAATGTAGCGTTTCCTCCTGACTTCGGCATGGCTGACATGTGTGTTCCTGGTCAAAACTGTCTCCATGGAGGGACGCATCCTGCTTACCTAAGCTTCTGGTCTGTAAGCTGTAGCTCTATCCACTTCATCATTGGAGTTGTTGTTTTTAAATTTTAAATGCAGACATGTCAAGATTTTGCTTAAACGACACAATATATATATATATATTAAATCTTTATTTCAAGTGGAGGCAATTTATGGAACTGGGGGCAAAAGTCTCGGATAAGAAGCTGGATGATATTATTGAGAAGCAGAATGCCAATCAGTGTTGTTTGATTATATACACATCTGGCACCACAGGAAATCCCAAAGGAGTCATGCTCAGCCACGATAATGTAAGTTCTTGCATTACTATACAACAATACAAATTTGTATAGCTCCTTTCACTTCAGGAGGACATCCCAAGGTGCAAGTCCTGGGTTGACGTCTGAGTTGGGGTGTGTGACCGAGTGAGGGGGAGAGGTGACTGATAATGTGCTCAAAGAGAAAGGTCTTGATATGGACCTTGAAAGAGGTGAAGGAAGGACACAGGGCACTCTGGGATGGAATTTCAGAGGGTGGGAGATAATAAGTTGATATATAACATATACCTTATAATAATAATTATTATTGCACTCTTGCATTAGTTATAGCGCTTTTCAGGTTGGAAGGACAACTCAAAGCAATTCACAAATTTACTGTAAAATGTAATGACTGTCTATTTTATAGGCATATTACTCCCTTAACATTCTTATTCTGACAGGTAGAATAACTGGATTGAAATTGTTCTTACTGATTGATCATAGAACATTACAGCACAGGAAAGACCGACTTGGCTCATCAAGTCAGCACTGATGTTTTCTCCATGCATCACTTAACCTCTCCTCCTCCCACTCCCTCCATAAACCCCTCCAATTGGGTTTCTGTGCTGCCCACAGCACGGAAACTGCTCTGGTCAAGGTCACAAATGACATCCTGACCATGTGTGAGCAGGGCTCCCTCTGCCTCCTCATCCTCCTCGACCTCTCTGCCGCCTTTGACATCGTGGACCACTCAATCATCCTCCACTGCCTCTTCTCCCACCTCAACCTTCAAGGTTCTGTCCTTGACTGGTTCAGCTCCTACCTTTCACACAGCCTCCACTTCGTCGTGGCAAATGGCTCCTCCTCCAACCCCGGCACTGTCTCATGCGGTGTTGCTCAGTGCTCTGTCTTCGGTCCCCTCCTCTTCACCTTCTACATGCTGCCCCTTGGTAACATCATCTGCAGACATGGGGTAAATTTCCACATGTAGGCGGATGACACCCAACTCTACCTCTCTGCCTCCACCCTGAACTCCAGGACTACTGGCGTCCTGACTGACTGACTGCCTGTCCGACATCAAGTCCTGGACGAGGGACAACTTTCTCCAACTTAACGTTAGCAAGACCGAGGCCCTCCTGATTGGCTTGTGCCAGCGCCTCTGCATCTCAAGCGCTGGCAGCATCAGCCTCCATGGCTGCACACTCAACCTCACGAAGCCAGTCAGGAACCTGGGTATCTTGTTCGACCCTGAACTGTCCTTTCTCCCCCACATCTGCGTCAAGGCTGGCACTGCCTACTACCACCTCCGCAACATTGTCAGACTCTGCCACTGCCTCACCCCTCAGGCTGCCGAAACCCTCACCCACGCATTCGTCAAGGCTTGATTACGGGAACTCCCTCCTCATCGGCCTTCCCAACTCTTCCCTTCACAAGCTTCAGGTCATCCAAAACTCTGCAGCTCGTGTACTCTCATGCACCAGGCTCCGCGACCCCATCACTCCCACCCTCGCCCAACTCCACTGTCTCCCCATCTCCCAGAGGATCGAGTTCAAGATCCTAGTCCTCATCTTTAAGGCCATCCATGGCCTTGCCCCTCCTACCTCTCTGACCTGCTGACTCCCTACCAACCTGCCCACTCCCTCTGTTCATCGGGCTCCGGCCTGCTCCATGTCTCCCGCCCGACCCGCTCTACCATCGGTGGCCGGGCTTTTAGCCACTCTGCCCCCACACTCTGGAATTCCATCCCACAGTCCCTTCACCTCACTTCCTCCCTCGCATCCTTCAAGGCCGGACTCAAGATCCTTCTCTTCGATCGTGCTTTTGGTCTCCCTCCCACCTCTCTGCCTTCCCTCACCCCTACACCACCCCTCCCCCATACTCGGGCCCCAACACCTGACTGTTCAGTGCTTTGGGACGTCCTCCCAATGTGAAAAGCGCCTTAATGATGTAATTTTGTTGTTGTTGTTAATCTCCACCACTTACACCTGTGACATATCCCAAGGCTCTATCCTTGATTCCTTTTTCTCATTTACTTGTTCTGTCTCGTTGTTGTCATCCATAGACATTGAGTGTGGATGAGCACCAGCTTTCTGAAGCTTAATGTTAACGAGACAGAAGTCATCCTCCATGACTCCTGTCTTCTCATCTATGGCTCCGACCTCCTTAACCTCGCTGGCCTATCCCTCAGACTTACTGAACCTATGCACCAAAGGATTGGATTCAGTCCACATTTGTCCTTCCTACCCCACATCTGGTCACCTCCCTTCTCTCTCTCTCTCTCTCTATCTCTCTCTCTCTCGCTCTCTCTCTGTGGCTTGGCATCAAGCTCTACCACTGTTGAGGGAGGGCTCTGAGACCCTGACCTGTGTGAATGTTGCTTTATAAATGTAAGTTGTTATTATAATCTAATCCCACTCTCCTACTCGCTCCTCGTACTCTTTAATGCTCCTCTTCATCATTCTTCTCTTTGACTCCTTGTAAAAATAATTAGATTAGATTTAATAGAGGTGTTCAAAATTATGAGGGACTTTGATAAGGAGGGGCTTTGATAAGGAGAAACTGTTTCCACTGGGTTGGTAACCAGAGGTCACAGATTCAAGATCATTGGCAAAAGAACCAGAGGGGAGATGAGGAGACATTTTTTTATGCAGAGAGTTGTTACGGTTTGGAATGCACTGCCTGAAAGGGTGGTGGAAGCAGATATAATAATAATTTTCAAAAGGGAAGTAGATATTTACTTGAAAAAAAATTACAAGGCTATGGGGAAAGAGCAAGGGAGTCGGACTAATTGGATAGCTCTTTCAAAGAGCTGGCACAGGCACGATGCAGCATTCTGTGATTCTAATTTGTTGGTCTCTGATATTTTATGGTGGACTGTGGTCATGTACTATTCTTTTTCCAGATAACATGGACTTCATATTGTGCAGGGAAAATGGTGGGGGCTGACATTCTGGGTGAACATGAGCGTATTGTGAGTTATCTGCCTTTGAGTCATATTGCGGCACAAATGTTTGACCTCTGGATTCCAATAAGATATGGAGGGACCACATTTTTTGCAGATGCAGATGCACTCAAGGTAGGTAATTTGAAACTGCAGCATTATCTCCATCTTCAAAAAGGTTTTACCGTTACATTCACTTTTGTACAAAACCTCAGGGATCGATTCACCATTAATAGGGAATTTTAGCTGCCATCTAGCAATTTACTTTTCAGTAGCTTGACTTAAAAGGAAAAGACTATTTTGCACTTGACACCTACTGTTCTCCCAGTTGGACACATTGAAGGCCCTGTTTTTGGTTAATCATCAGGATGATGATGATAGTCCTGTGAAATTGAACAACAGTGTCCCACAGACAATCTTGGATTGAGTGACCAAATTTAACATTTCAACATGAACCTTGGTGTGAGCATATGTTTTTAGCTCAAACTCATTTCCCTCACTTATTTTACACTAAACCATTGCATAGCCAGTGGCCGAAAGATTTTCATCTCACTAATCCACACGGCATTGAACGAAAACCAGATCTGTTCTTTGAAAACTTGGCGTTATCTTGTTTCTCCCTTGTTACTGTTTTGTTTCTTTACTAAAGTAGACCCATGTTATAACATGCTTGTTTGGGAGGGATGGGTGCCGTGGGGGTGGGGGGATCATTAAATCCCGACTCACTTTATAATTAGCACCATCGATGGTCAACACTTCTGTATTCACTGTAATTGTGTGCAGAAAAGCTTGCTAGCTGCCTATGCTTAGAAAATGGCGATCAGGTTACTTTCTCTGTCACCTTTTGTGCAGGTGAGAAACCGGATGGCTTTTTGGGTGCAAAATCCACTTTACAGTATACTCTGCGAAGCTCTTTGAGACGTCTCAACGACATGATAAGGCGCTATAATCAAATGCAAGGATTATTATCATTATTAATACTGAAATCTGAATGTTGTGTTTTGTTTTAACCAACAAAATCTGGTAGGGCGTTTTTAAGAAATGTGATTTTGTTCTTCTATTTTCAGGGTTCCTTGGTGATCACCCTGAGAGAAGTACAGCCCACAAGCTTTTTAGGAGTGCCCCGCGTGTGGGAGAAGTTACAGGAAAAATTGAGGGAAGCTGGACTTAAATCATCAGCTCTGAAGCGGAAGATTGCAGCTTGGGCAAAGCGTCTGGGCTTGAGAGCGAGTGAGAACATTATGGCTGGGTAGGTTAAAGATGCTCTGCTTGCTGTTTCGGAAGCGTGTAGCTTTTAACACTTAAAAGAAAGGTCCCGAAAGCACTTAAGATTGACAGTCATTAGTCTTGCTCCCAGTCGCTAATGGACTAACTGGCAAAATGCTTCACTATAGAGTTTACGTTTACATAGATTGTACAACATGGAGAGAGACCATTCAGCCCAACCAGTATGTGCTGGTGTTTCTACTCCACGAGTCTCCACCCAGTCATTACTCCCTCTCATACCCTTCCATACACTTCTATTCCCTTCTCCCTAGCATCCTAGGGAGCGCTTTAACAAGTGGTCCGGGACGCTACCCCATGTGAAGGATGCTATATAAATGAAAGTTGTTGTTGTTGTTGTTGTGTTCTCAAATACATCTACTACACACATACTTGCCTGGACCAAACTCTGTACCCCCATCTCACCAGTTCTGACCAGGCTCCACTGGCTCTTCATCACCAAATGGATTGACTTCAAGATCCTCACACTTGTGTTCAAATCCCTTCACTCTCTGGAAACCTCCCTACCTCTCCGACCTCCTCACTCAATCCACTTCCCGGCATCTCCGCTTGACTGGCACTGGTCTCCTGCTTGTCCCTCCACTCCACCATCGGAGGTTGCGCATTCAGTTACTATGACCCAAAACTCTGGAACACACTACCTCAATCCCTTCACCTTGCCCCCTCTATCCCCATTTTTCAAGTCGCCCCTGTAAACCTTCCTTTTCGACCATGATTAAGGTTACCTTCCCCACCCACTTTGGCTCAGAGTCAGGCTCCGCCACTTTTAAGCACTTTGAGACCCTGCCCTGCATGGAGGGCGCTATAATAATAATCCTTGCATTTGATATACTCTGGTCCATGCCTTTGTCACCTCCTGGCTGGACTATTCAAATGCCCTCCTTGCCGGCTTCCCCTCCACTACCATCCATAAAATCCAGATTATAAAAAACTCTCCCGCCACATTCTTACTTGCACCAAACTCCGCTCCCCGATAATCCCAGTCCTTGCCAGACTGCACTGGCTGCCTGTCCCAGAGAGGATCGACTTCAAGATTCTCACCCGTGTCTTCAAATCCCTCCACTCCTCTGCACCCCCCATACCGCTCTGACCTCTTTCCTCAAAACACCCCCCGTTGCCTTTGTTCCATCGGGTCTGGACTCCTCCTCGGCTCCGAGTCCTCTGCTCCACCCTCAGCAGCCGTGCCTTCAGCGACTACGCCCCGAGGCTCTAGAACTCCCTTCCTCACTCCCTTCGTCTCGCCCCTTGTCTTCCTACCTTCAGGTCTCTGCTGAAGACCTTTCTTTTCAACCGCACCTTTGGTTACTTTCCTCCCCTTCCCCCAGGCTCAGCCCCGGGATCCGTTAGTGTGAAGCACTCTGAGATGCCGTCCAGCGTGGAGGGCGCTATATAAATCCAAGTTTTTAACATAGCATGTAGGAGCAGGAGTAAGCCATTCGGCCCTTCGAGCCTGCCCCGCCATTCAATCATGGCTGATCTTCTAATCTAACTCCAGCTAATAACCTGACCTTGCCTTATCCCCATATTCCTTAATCCCTTTTGCAATAAGAAATATATCTATCTCAGTGGACTGAGCGTCAACAGCCCTTTGGGGTAGTGAGTTCCATACATTCACCACCCTTTGAGTGAAGAAGTTCTTCCTCAACTCAGTGCGAAAGGGCTGGCCTCTGATTTTAAGGTTGTGACCCCTGGTTTTAGTTTCTCCACCCGCCAGCAGCCCAAATCTGGTATGGTACGGCCCTGCCCGGATCTGACCAGGAGCAACAGGAAAAGCACCTGAAAGGCAAAGCCACTCGAGGTAACTTCCACCTCACCACTGCCAGGCTTTGCCTGAATGCGTGCGTACGTACTTGCTCTGTGAAACATGATGTCATAACGCCACTGTGAGTCCGCGCGGCCACTAGGTGTAACTGCAGCGCAAAACACAAAATTGCCATTTATGTGTGATGAGTTTGTTTAGGTCAGAACTCATCAACAATAGGATATCCCTGAAAATGACCAATTTATTATTGTTTTTGGAGGGATTATTATTAGGCGTGTGGAGTAAGGAAACTTGCCCAAGGTTTCGCCCTGTCTGGAATTGAATTCAGGTCTCTCACTTGCAAAGCGAGTGCTCTAACCACTGAGCTGCATACTCTAATCCTTTCATAATGAATGCTAACATACCGTTCGCCTTCCTAATTGCTGCTGCACCTGCAGACTAACTTTCTGTGATTGGTGTACAAGGACACCCAAGTCCCTCTGGACACTAACACATTCCATCTCTCCCCTTCTAAAAAAAATAATCTGCTCTACTGTTTTTGCTACCTAGGTGGATGACTTCGCACTTCCCTACATTATACTTCATCTGCCACCTGCCCAATCACCTAACCTATCCATGTCGCGCTGCATTTTTTTACTGCATTTGTTCACTCAATCCATGACTTGTGGGACTCGAGTGCAATTATCTGTCACATTTCGCCCGTCTTTTTCACAATTCTTGCGTCTTTTCTATTGTAGAAATGACGTAATGCCCTGTGGGTACTCACTGGCAAACAGCCTGGTGTTTAAGAAAGTTCGTAAAGCACTGGGTTTGAACCACTGTGGGAAGTGTTTCACTGGAGCAGCACCCATCACTAAAGAAACACTGGAATTCTTCCTTAGCCTCCATATTCCAATCTATGAGCTTTACGGCATGAGCGAGACTAGTGGGCCACACACAATTTCCTATGCAGGAGCCTTCCGTACTACAAGGTTTGTGAATTGTATTGCTCATTCAGTTAAGCATTACTCAGTCACGTAGATAATGGTGATGAATTTACTTCTTAAGTTGTGACTGCTTTCGCTCTTAGGTATAATTATTGGACAAAACTGAATTGGTCTAAAGGTATTCAGCTCTATTTGAATAATATTAAAAGCTCTCTTTTTTGAAACTAGAAATGCACATGAAAAGATTTCCAGTGGGAATTGTGTAGATAATGACCTTACACTTGAAATTTTATAATTGCCCTTTGGCGATGGGCAATAGATGTTTGTAGTTATTATGGATGAAAGTTATGCTTCTGCGTTTTCTTCCATTATTTTTATTTTTGATAAATGCAGTAGTTATTATTTACCTGTTCAAGCTTCAGATTAATTCCTCTTTGACTCGTAATTAGTTTTTTTTATGTTCGTTGGATAAAACTAAAATGCCATTCAACATCAATAACTTTCATTTATATAGCGCTATTCACACAGGGTAGCGTCCCAGGGTGCTTGACAGTGGAGGAACACAATGCCGAGCTGGGGGGAGGGTGGTGGTGACGGTAGGCATGGTCGAATAGAAAGGTCCTCAGGCGCGACCTGAAGATGGAGAAAGAAGGGGCAAGTGGGAAGGTGGCCATAAGCATGGTCGAAGAGGAAAGTTTTCAGGTGGGACTTTTACTCCGAAGTCATCCTGATAAGATGGGGCTATGAAAACATGAAGGAGACGTGGGGAATGGGAGGAGGACGATGCAGCCAAGAGAATGTTTTCAATTTTTGAGGCGAAGAAGTCTAGGACCTCTTCACACTTGGCGTTTGACGTGAGGATCAAGGGGGCTTGAGGGAGTACACGGAGGAGGCAATGGATGGTGGAAAACAGTGTTTTTGTTGATTGCCTCCAGGATGACTTTGGAGTAAAAGTCAGCTTTGGCCTGTGAAAGAGAAATGCTCAGGTCCTCAAGCCACACCTGGCGGTGAATCATGAAGCCGGATTTCTGCCATCTGGGCTCGAGCATCCGGGTTTGTGTTTTGAGTGAGTGGAGATGACTGTTGTACCAGGGGGAGTGGGTGGGTTTGGAAACAACCCTGTATTTCAGGGGAGCCAGGGAATTGAAGGATGTGGAGAGACAGACATTCAGCACCTTGATGGCTGCATCAGGATTGTTTTGGGTGGAGGGCCAGATGGAGAGGAGGTCTGAGGAAGAGAGGGCAGTTATTAGAGACTCAGGAAGCATTTTCCAGGGGCGGAAAAAAATGGTGGAGGGCTTGGGGGATACTTATGGAATTCTCTACCCCAAAGGGCTGTAGTTGCTCAGTCCTTGAACATATTCAAGACTGAGGTTGATAGATTTCTAAAGGATCGAGGGATTAAGAGATATGGGGATAGGGCGGGTAATTGAAATTAGGTAAGAAGATCAGCCATGATCTTATTGAATGGCGGGGGAGGCTCGAGGGGCCGAATGGCTTACTCCTGCTGCTACGTCTTATGGTCCCTCAACCCATCTGATCTCAAACCGCCCTGTCTCTCCCACCCTGTTGCAACATAATTTTTTTTAAAATCAGTCTCGTATCCTGGCGTCTTCCACCCATTCTGTCAAAAATCTGTGGAGATGCTGGGGATAGAACATACATACATTGTGGACTCCTGTAGCTCAGTGGTTAGTGCACTCGCTTTGCAAGCGAGACACCTGGGTTCAATTCCAGGCAGGGCGAAACCTTGGGCAAGTTTCCTTACTCCACACGCTTAATAATAATCCCTCCAAAACCAAAATAAATTGGTCATTTTCAATCGACGACTGTTTGTGGGACATTGCTGTGCGCAATTGGCTGCCGCGTTCGCCCACAAATATACAGTTAATTCACTTTACAGTGTGTTCTGTGAAGCGCTTTGGGACGTCCTCCCGACCTGAAAAGCGCTATATCAAATGCAAGGATTATTATTATTATGATACAAAGCATGTGCTCTACCACTGAGCTACATTCCCTTCTAACCCACAATCTTCTGTCTCAGATGTGAGAGGAGTGTTACCAACTGCAGTAAGATAACACCCATTGGATTACAACACATAGAATGCCTACTCTGTGTGTCCGGAACTTTGGCGTCTTGTTTGACCCTCAATTATTCTTTCTATCACACATCTGCGCCATGAACCACTCTGCCTTCCCCCACCTCCACAATGTCACCCGGCTCCGACATTGTCTCACACCGCAGACCGCCGAAACCCTCATACATGCCTTCACTACATCGAGCTTGACTATGGAAACTCACTACCTGTCGGCCTCCGCACCTCCTCCCTCCACAGGCTGCAGATCATCCAGAATTCTGCAGCCCGTGTCCTCTCCCACACTAGACTCCGCGACACTATCACCTCCATCCTTGCTCAACTCCACTGGCTTCCCATCACACAGAGGATATAGTTCAGGATGCTGGTCCTCACCTTCAAAGCCCTCCATGGTCTTGCTCCCCCTTACCTCTCCGACTTCCTAACCCCCTATCACCCTGTTCGTTCCCTCCACTCAGTGGGCTCCGGTGTGCTTCACGTCTCCTGCCTCGCTCGCCCCACTATTGGTGGTTGGGCCTTCCGCCACTCTGCACCCACCCTCTGGAACTCCATCCCGCAGTCCCTCTGTCTCACCCCTTCCGTCGCCACCTTCAAGCTGACCTTAAGACTTTCCTCTTCGACCGTTCTTTCGATCTCCCTGCTTTCCCCCCGCGCTCCACCCTCCCCCACCCTGACCCTCAGCTCGGGTCTGTAACTCTGTCTCTCCAGCGCCTTGGGACGTCCTCCTGACATGAAAGGCGCTATACAAATGTAATTTTGTTGTTGTTGTGCTTAATTGAAGTTGAGTGTGTTTTCATTGAGATACAGGTTACATGTTTTCTCTTCATTGGCCCCTGAGAGCCTTTTATTTACTGTCATTCTGTCTAAGCACTTGGAGGTAAGTAAGTGAAACCTATAATAATAATAAAAATCATTGCGTTTGATAGTGCCTTAACACGTGCGTCAGAGAATATACTAGGTTAGTTTTTTTTTCTTGTGGGATTTTTATTCTCTTACCCAACCCAATATTTACCCAAAAGCACCTCTTCTTTACCCGAGAGAGTTCTGCTTTCGTAAGGGTTTCACTTTAATCACTTTGATTTGGTGTGTTATTTCACTTTGCAGTATATCACTTCGAAATGTCCTCCCGCCATGAAAGGCACCGTATCAAATGTAAAGTGTTATTATTTGTTGCATTTTTGATCGTACTGAGGCAAATGCTAACTTCTGATAGTTATAATTTGTTACCAGTTGCGGGAAGCAGTTACTTGGTTGCAAGGTAATGCTTCACAAACCGGATGAGAATGCAAATGGAGAAGTCTGTTTATGGGGAAGGAATATCTTCATGGGATACTTGAATATGGCAAAACAGACTGAAGCGGACGTAGATAAGGATGGCTGGCTGCATTCTGGAGACTTGGGACAACTAGATCAAGATGGTTTCTTGTATATAACTGGTAGAATAAAAGGTAACTTTTTCTTTTGGTCAGCCGATTGTCTGTACACATAGAAATCTGTCGACGTGCTTAGCGGATTCTAAACCAAACTGAAAATTCCACATACGCATTGAAATCTCCTGTGTGGAATGGAGCATGCAGTCTTTCCACAGAGGGATGCAATGCTGCTTATGTAATCCCAGAAAGTAAATGGGGCCGGTCATAGAAACAAAGAAACCTACAGCACAGATGCAGGCCAATTGGCCCATCGTGTCTGTGCCAGAGGTTGGCAAGGCCAAAAGCTGGGGACCCTAGTGGGTGCTGCTGCTGGAGATATTAGCTAAAACGGTGTTGTTTCCAGGGTAATAAAACCAAATATGGCATTATAATGGGGTGCAAACCCAAATTGGCCTACGCTTATATGCAACAACTTGCATTTATATAGCATCTTTACTCTATTTTGTTTCAGAATTGATCATCACAGCTGGTGGAGAGAACATTCCTCCAATCCCCATTGAGGATGCTATCAAAAAGGAAATTCCGATCATCAGCAATGCCATGCTCATTGGTGATAAAAAGAAATTCCTCAGTGTACTGCTGTCATTGAAGGTAAGCATTTCTTCAGAATATAATGTGAGCCTGTGTTACGTGAACGGTTATGGACTTTTCCACTGTGTTTTACCTCCCACACGCACAACACACACGCAACACAGAGTATGATCACCAAAATGGATCCCTATTGTTCCTCAGTGCTTTACTTTGCTTGCAGCTGAAGTGCTAGAATTTAACACATCACAAAATAATCCTGCAATTTGGGACCAGATAGAACTTTGGGCCACTAGAGTTGTGATTAACCATTGGATGTGAACCTTGGAAAATAGTGAGAGTCCCAACTTACCGAGCGGCGTTTGGAAGCTGCTCTACCAAAGAAAGAGAAGGGATTTCGAATTGTATTTTAACAATGTTCCTTAGTTAAATGTTAAATAGTTCCTTAGAAATGCGATGTGAGGAATACCGCAATTTTGACTCATGGTCTTATAATGCCTTAAAATCAACATTGCTTTGTTTCACTGTTGTGGCCGGTCACAGAACTAAGTGGTGACTTGGGAAGAGGACTACTGTCAGAGATCAGCAGAGCAGGATGGTGGTGAATTGTCTGAAGTAGAGGAAGAAAGTTTCTTTATTTTCTCCGTTCCATTGAATCGCTGGCAAGTTGTAAATGGAGGTTGCTTGCTAACTGACGGTCATTGTCATACTGTTTGTTATTTGCAACTGCATTTGTGTTGACTGCATTTATAGCAAACCGAATCTCCTTCTTCTAGTGTATGGTCAATGAGCAAACTGGAGCACCATTGGATGCACTTAGTCCAGAAGCCATTGCTTTTTGCAAACAGCTTGGGAGCCACGCTACAAAAGTGTCTCAGATTGTGAATAATAAAAACTCTACCATTTATAAAGCCATTGAGCAGGGCATTGATAGAGTGAACAAAAAGGCAACTTCGAATGCTCAGAAAATCCACAAGTTCTTCATTGTGTTGACAGACTTCTCGATCACTGGAGGAGAATTAGGTAAGCAGATGCTAGATTTTTATTGTTTGAAGTGTGCTTGATAGTAAAGGGAATATATGGGTATAGGGGGGAGGAATTGGGATGGGTGACTGTATCTCCGGTGGGATCTTCTAGAGATATAATTTTTTTTTAAATGGTATTGAAAACATAAACCCAGAACAATATTTTAGAATGCACCAAAATAATAGCACAACAACAACAAATTGCATTTAAATAGCTTGGAAATGAAAGGGAGGTTGGTAATCAGTTAGGAAATAGTGATGGATCAAGGGAAGGTTTTTTGAGGAGGGATTGATGACAGCTCTTTTTAAGAGGGTGGGAAACTCTTCCGGTGGACAAAGAGAGGTTGACAATATCCATTGGGGTCAAGGAAGTTTGGAAAAGGGTGGGGAATAAGAGTTTAAAGTTGCAAAGAATAATTTTACAGGACATATCCCTTCCTTCGGATGAGATTTTAAACTGAGGTCCTGTGTCTGCCTGTTAAGGCGGACATTAAAAATCCCAAGTCAACAACAACAAGAATACATTTGTATAGCGCCTTTCACGTCGGGAGGATGTCCCAAGGGAGGGGAAGGGGGGTGGCCGATGGCATGGTCGAAGAGGAGGCTCTTGAGGCGGGACTTGAAGGAGGCTAAGGAGGGGGGCGAGGTGGAGTGACTGGGGGATGGAATTCCAGAGGTTGGGGATTAGAATAAGGCACTATTCTAAAAGAGAAGAGAGTTTCTCCTGGTTTTCCTGGCCAACAATCCCCCCCAAAAAAATTGGTAGCAGTTTGTGGGGCACTGCTATGTGCAAACTGGCTGCCATGTTTCGTCAACAAAATACACAGTCAATCCACTTTACAGTGTATCCTGTGAAGTACTTTGAGACATCTCGACAACGTGATAAGGCGCTATATCAAATATAAGGATTATTATTATTATTATATACCTAACCTGGCGCTCCAGATAACTCATCACTGAGTCTTTTCCCTGAGAGTGACGAGATTTCAGGAGTTTACTGTAATTGCAATCCAGGTGTTGAAACTGGCAGTCCCAGTGACTGAAAACTGCCCTGGTCCAAATAGACATCCAAGGGCATAAATTTCTAACTAATTTTGTTTTGCAGGTCCAACAATGAAAACGAAAAGGCCGGTTGTGCACCAGTTGTACAAAAATCAAATCGATGCTCTTTATATAAGTTAAAGTCTCTCCACGGATGGTTTTACAGAATGTTTATGAAAAAAGAATCAACCTTGAAGTCTCTTAAAACTATTAAAACCAGCAAATTCCGTAACTGCTTAATTTTCAATATATGATGGAAGGTTTATTTGCTTGGAGATAAGTAACAAACTGACATGGTTTTATTTTTTAGGACGTTTCAATTGGGGAATTCAGAATAAAACTTATATAAAAAAAATTGTCACACAATCCACAACTGTTGTGGGACAGTTGTTGTGCTGCCGCATTTCACCTACAAAATGGACTGTCAGTTAATTCAGTATACAGTATATTCTGCGAAGCGCTTTGAGACATCTCGAAGATGTGATAAGATGCTATATCAAATGCAAGGATTATTATTATTAAAACTGCTGAATGATGTGAAGTGTTTTTTTTGACGCATTAAATAGTGGGGGTGCAAATGATCATTGCTAACTAGTGATGAGGAAACAGGAGCTGAATGTGAGGAGATAAATGGCATTTGATGTTTAGGGTTTATTAAGGGTTTATGCCTTATTAAGAACGGAACATGTGCCTCTGAGAAGGCACATGGATGAGGCACTTATTAATGCCGGATCAGAGTAGGTGATTTAACGAAAGATTCATGTGGGAAATCACATTCCCAAAATCAGTGCTGAAATTTTCTGAGGCCCTTTTGCCAAAGAATAGGATGTAATGGTGTTGAACGTAACTTGCAATTCCAGGGAAAATTGTATTTATATTGGAGCAGCATTCATTAGGTCATTGCAAATTTGAGATCTGAAGAAATGTTTCTTAATTTACCTTATAACCAATATTTCTTGTACATGCAATACAAATGCATATACTCGCATTATTCTGACCACAGGACATCAGGGTGTGACATTTTAAATGGGATTCCTTAATCAAAGAATCTGTAAGTGTGTCACACTGACTTGTGGAACTGTGACACCAATCTATTTTTGGAACAGACCCACACGTGGAAGGTTTTTTTTACTTAAAAGAAATTGGTGAGGTTTAGTTACAGCTGTACAATATTAAACTATTGCAAATGACCTTTAAAAGATACATTGCAATATAATTTACATTGATATAGCACCTTTCTCATCAAGAGGATGTCTTAAAGCACTTGACAATTCTAGGTGAGCATTTAGGTTTGTTTTCCTCTTGCAAACTTTATTTGTAAAGGGGAGTCCTGTAGTCCATTGGTTAGAGCATTCGCCTAGTGAGCAAGCAAGCAAGAGGGCCCAGGATCGATTCCTGGACAGGGCAAAACCTTAGGGAAGTTTCCTTACTCCACACACCTTTGTTTACCTAGCGGTAAATAGGAACCCGGTTATTAGTCGATTGGAGTATCAATAACCGTGGGTAATAATTCCTCGAAAAATAAACTCAGAAATTGTTCTTCAAAGGTATGAAGTGGTTGCTTCATACATCTGGGTAACGTGTTCTAGCTCGGACATAGCGACCCAGCTTTTGGTAGAACTGGGTCATTTCTCATATTATTCATTTTGCCTGTAAAATATACAGTTAGTCCACTTTACAATATATTCTGTGAAGCGCTTTGAGAGTCTCAATGTCGTGATAAGGCTCTACATCAAATGTAAAAATTATTACTATGTGTTGCATTGATAAAAGGGGGCAATTCATATGCTAGGAGATGACGTTCCTTCTCCTCCCACCCGTGCCCCACCCCCAAAAAAGTAAAATATCTTTGTCCCCAATCCATTAATCTCTGCCCAAGGACCTGCAGAGCCTTTGATCTTTATTCAACTTAAATTTAGGGGAAAATCTAATTTGATGTGACATTAATATGGAGCTTTTAACTCCCAAGATTGCATGCAGAATTTTTTCTATATGTCATACAATTGGATCAGGTTACCTTATTAGTGTCACGCCCAATGTAGCTGAAATCCTCACCTCCAAGATGGACTATTCAAATTCCTTCCTCACTGGTCTCCCCAACTCCACTATTCACAAAATCCAACTGCTCCAAAACTCAGCCACCTGTGTTCTCATCCACTCTAAACTCTGAACCCCCATCACACCAGTCCACGCCAGTCTCCACTGGCTCCCTATCACAGAACGTATTGACTTCAGATCCTCATACTCATCTACAAATCCCTTCACACCCTGGCACCTCCTACCTCTCCAACCTGTTTATTTCCCATACCATCACCCACCTCCTCCAGCCTCCTGGATATCCCTTGTTCCCTCCGGTTCCACCATTGGCGGCCATGCTTTCAGCCACTACGCTCTGAAACTCAATGCCTTCGCATTGCCCCTCCATCCCCAGTTTCAGATTACACCCTAAAATCTTCCTTCTACGGTCACTTCCCCCGACTCAGCATCAGACTCAGCATGGTTAAGCGCTCCGAGATGCTGCCCTGAGTGAAGAGTGAATGCAAGTTGTTGTTGAAAATGTGTGTGGTGCAGTTGCCTCCTGTTGTTTTGGACAATAAAACCGATAAAAGGAAAATATTTCTCTCAACCGACCGGCATCAGAATAACTAGTTGGTGCTTGTGAGATTTTAACCCCCATTGCATTGGAAAGTTGTGGTAGGTGGTTGCGCTTGTTTTTAACCATCTGAAAAATGTCTAGTGAGGATTGTAATAAAGGTTATATTTCTATATTTTACATACAAATTGTACTTATATGTTTCATTCTGCTTTGACAATAAACTGCACTGTTGTGTTCAGTGATGTTAAATTTCTTTCATTTTCATTGGGGGTGTGGGGCGCTTTCTCTTCTTACACTGCCCCTGTGTCACTCACTCACATTTATCAATGCCTAACATATGTCTAGCCTAGCTGTTTACTTTTGTGGGGTGGTGGATGTTGCGGGGGCAAGGGTGGGGGTTGTCACAGCCAGGACCATGCATTTTACATAGAATTACATAGGCTCTCCCTTACTCTTTATTCCCTGATTAAGATTGAATTAGCAACTGGATCAAATTGGATCAATTGGCAACTGGAGCAACATTTGTGGCTCCTGTCTCCTACCTTACAAGATTGGTTTTCATCTCATGCTTATAGAACATCCCCTATCATCACCTCCCCCCCACCTCCACCCCAAACGCAGCATCAGCCTGTCTTTTAAATGAGTCTAGTGTGGCCTCACCCCCCCACCCCCCCTTCCTAGTAACCTATTCCAGTTGATGATTCCTGGTATCTGTCCTGAAATTGCCCACTAAAACTCTAAACCCGTGTGCTCTTGTTATACTTCCTTGGTGCATCCTAAAGTATTGACCAGGGTTCACTTTTTCAATCCCATTCAAAAGCCTCTATGCGGCTTCCTCTGAGTCTGACCTCAAGCTCTAAAGACACAACACTGTTATCTTTCAAGCCAATACCTGAATAAGTACACAAAATAAACATTGGGAGTTTGCCCTGAAGTACAGCAGCTGCAGAAATCTCATCATTGACACACATAGACAGAAAACCAAATGCAATGGATAGTGCATAGTACAACCAGTGGTTTCAATTCTGCGAGCATTGATCTGTTAGAATTGGATAGAAGAGAAGTATTTTCAAGTCTTAAAAGAATAATGAGTTGGCAGCACTCTCACTTGTTAAGTCAGAATGTTGTGGGTTCAATCCCCACAATGGAACTTCGAACTCACAGTCCATGTTGATACTCCTCGGTTTGTAGAGGAGGAGCTGAGAGCCCAGAGTGAGCTAAGTCCGGAGTGAGGCGAGGCCAGAGTGTGGGGGAATTTGGTGAGAGTGGGAATTGCTGCTGTGAGTGTCCTGAAAACTGCTATCGTGAGTATATAACCCAATTTGTTGTTATTCAAGTCTTGTAGTAGTTGTTGTAGTTGTTTTAAGTCTTGTGTTATTTAAAATTGCTGATACCATTGGTACATTGGTCTTGTGGGGTAACCTTACAGGGAGCAGTTGTAGCCAATTAAGCCAAACCAATAACAAATAACTTATTGATTAAATTAACTTATTGATTAATCACTTGATTAGGCGTTAATTCCAAATCACTGCTGAGCAAATCAGAAACGGGTTGCACCCAGAAAGTATAAATAGGAGATAGCTGCGCGGACCTCACTCGAGCTGAGAGCCCAGAGTGAGGCGAGGCCAGAGTGTGAGGGAATTTGGTGAGAGTGGGAATTAGGTGCAGAGAGGGAAGTGGGGGCAGGCTATATATCTTTGTATCTATATAAAGTTTGTGAAGATGGTGTAGCAGGTAAACTGCGAGGTCTGTCACATGTGGGAGTCAATGGAGGGCGCCTTAAGTCCGGGCGACTTCGTTTGCCGCAAGTGTCTGGAAATCAGAGAGCTCCAGCTGAGAGTAGCTGAGCTGGAGTCTCAGGTGGAGATGCTACGCAGCATTAGGGATGGAGAAAACTTCCTGGACAGCTTTATCCTGGAGCCAGACACTCACTCCCCTGAGTCCCAAGGAAGAAGAATGTAGTAGCGACAGACATGATTGGGTGACAGTCAGGCGGGCAGGCAAGCGTTCCCGAAAGAGAGGGGCTGAAGAATCCTAGACTTTAGCCTTGTCTGACAGGTATGAAATATTGGCAACCTGTGTGGACAAGGAAACCTGCGAGGAAGACGGGCAAACTGACCCCAACACCCCTGTGCAGGAGGTTAAAAATGTAATTCGGGAGGACTGATACAGTTTTCTGTAGCTGTAGCAGGGAGACAAGTTGTCTTCCTGGGGCCAGGGTGAAGGATGTCACCGCCGGGCTGGAGATAAATTTGAGGCATGAGGGAGAGGATCCAATCGTAATGGTACATATAGGGACCAATGACATTGGTAGGACCAGTAGGGACGAGTTAAGGAGCGTTCCGGGAATTGGGAATTAAACTGAGGAATAGAACTTCCAAAGTGATGATATCGGGACTGTTACCTGAGCCAGGAGCTAATTGGTACAGGCAAAAGAAGATCATAGATCTGAATGCCTGGCTAAAAGAGTGGTGCGGAGAGCAGGAATTCCAATTCATGGGCCACTGGCACGAGTATTGGGGAAGATGGGAGCTTTTCCAAAGGAATGGGCTCCACCTAAATAGGGCTGGGACAAATGTCCTGGCTACACGAATAAATAGGGAGGTAGAAAGGGCTTTAAACTACTAAGGGGGGGGGGGAGGTAAAAACATAGTAAAGTATAGTCCACCACAGTTAAACTTGAGATCAACAAAAGCAAGAGAGCAGATTAACAAGGGAGAAGAGCAAAGTGTGTCAAGCAGGGAAAGGAAGTACAGTGATAGAG